TATAATAAATCTATTTGTCTTTTATTCTCATTGTTTATAGTGAAAAGTTTTTGTCATTTTTTTGCCCCAAGACAGTCAATGAAAATTAAACGATTATTTTAATATATGCATAATAAGCAGTCAGTAAATGTTTATAGAGGGAATAAAGAAATAATGGCCTGTTTTATTCAGGAATTGTACTAAAGGGCTTATATAGTAATTTATAAATAATAACTATACCTTTGAAAGAATAACGATCATCTCTAGTCTTTGAAAATATAAACTTCTTATATAATAAAAACCTTTAAAACACTGTTCATTTCTTCTTTACCTGTTAAGCCTCTACTCTACACACACTTTGTTCTGGTTTCTCTTCCCCTTCCCTCCCCACACCCTCCAGAGTTGAAAATCTCAATATTAATTGGAGCTAAGATGATTGTACTGCTGCTGCTAAGACTTCAGCAGGTCTCTTATAAGCTAATGTCACAGCATGGGGTCTATTTGTTCTGTGTAGCTGTTCTGCAGTACAGTGAGAATGCCTTGATTAATAAGCTACATGAGAATAAAATGAATTTGGAAAAAATTATACATACTCTCATAAATATTAATTCACATTTGTATGGAATTGCACATAATTTTCAATATACTTTGGAGCACCTTTGGTATGAAAGATTTGGTCTCTAAAGAGAGAGACATAATTTTTTTAAAAGCCCAGTTGATACATTATTAAATATCATTTGTTTATTAATCTGATACTCCACATGCATGTGATGCAGGGCAGTAGGTGGGTTATATCACAAAGAAAGTGCCCTTGTTCTTTCAAGGATGTGTGTGTGTGTGTGTGTGTGTGTGTTTTACCCTGTGTGGAGTTATATATTAAAACCTTTAAAACACTGTTCATTTCTTCTTTACCTGTTAAGCCTCTACTCTACACACACTTTGTTCTGGTTTCTCTTCCCCTTCCCTCCCCACACCCTCCAGAGTTGAAAATCTCAATATTAATTGGAGCTAAGATGATTGTACTGCTGCTGCTAAGACTTCAGCAGGTCTCTTATAAGCTAATGTCACAGCATGGGGTCTATTTGTTCTGTGTAGCTGTTCTGCAGTACAGTGAGAATGCCTTGATTAATAAGCTACATGAGAATAAAATGAATTTGGAAAAAATTATACATACTCTCATAAATATTAATTCACATTTGTATGGAATTGCACATAATTTTCAATATACTTTGGAGCACCTTTGGTATGAAAGACTTGGTCTCTAAAGAGAGAGACATAATTTTTTTAAAAGCCCAGTTGATACATTATTAAATATCATTTGTTTATTAATCTGATACTCCACATGCATGTGATGCAGGGCAGTAGGTGGGTTATATCACAAAGAAAGTGCCCTTGTTCTTTCAAGGATGTGTGTGTGTGTGTGTGTGTGTGTGTTTTACCCTGTGTGGAGTTTATATATTATTCTTAGAAGTGGTACAATTTAATCATATTATATAGAAGCAGTCCATGATGGAACTCACCTGGCTGCTTCTGCTAGCATTGTCATTATACCTGAGTGTCTTTTCATGATAGCTGACTATCATGATTACATGTGAGACTAAGCACTGAATAGTTTGAGCTGAACGGATGTCTGACATAGCTGGCTGGTAGTGGACACTGGGCAAAGGAATAAATATAGCAGTCTTTTATTGAACTTTAACAGGAGTTAGGCACAGTGTACAAGGTTCTGAGACTGTGGAGTCAATGGCTGTGAACACTTGCTTTGATCTCAACTCCTTCCCTGAACACCTTCACCACATCCTCATTGCATCAGGAGGCCTGCCTCTTCAATGGCAGAGGGTAAATCATCGGCAGTGATGTTAGACCAGAGGTGCTCATTTGCCTTATGAAACTGTTATCTTTGATATCTTTTTGTTCCAAGGACAAGGCTTTTCTTTTTTTCTGGGGCTTCTTGCTATTTTCTGTGATCCTTCTTGTGTGCCATCAGTGCCTGTTAGGTTTCTTGGTTTTCTGCTTTAATCAACTTTTCTAGGTTGCTTTACTCTGTGTTAGAGGCAGCCTGGGATATTATTAAATCACTAGAGGCCTGGTGCACGAATTCGTGCACGGGTGGGGTCCCTTCCTCCTGGCTGTCAATCGGGGCCATCTTGCCCAGCCCCAATCAGGGCTAATAGGGGCCGGCCAGCCGGGGGAGGGACCGCAGGAGATTGGCAGTGGGAGCGCACTGACCACCAGGGGGCAGCTTCTGCATTGATCATCAGCCCCCTATTAGTCAGTGTGCATCATAGTGACCAGTCGACCCATTCGGTCAGTTGGTCATAATGGTCGCTTAGGCTTTTATATGTATAGATTGTTGTGGTTTGTAGGTTTGGATATTTTGTTGGATATTTTGACTAGTTGTCTTATTTATTTATTTAGCAAGTATAAATATATGTTCCACCTATTATTTGCCTGACTCTGTACCAGGGGGCAGCTTCTGCATTGATCATCAGCCCCCTATTAGTCAGTGTGCATCATAGTGACCAGTCGACCCATTCGGTCAGTTGGTCATAATGGTCGCTTAGGCTTTTATATGTATAGATTGTTGTGGTTTGTAGGTTTGGATATTTTGACTAGTTGTCTTATTTATTTATTTAGCAAGTATAAATATATGTTCCACCTATTATTTGCCTGACTCTGTATGTGAAGCTCTGGGGTTACTGAGATAAACAATACTTACTCCCTGCCCTTGTCCTTTCAAGGATTTGTGCTACCAGCTGCCTCTGGGCCTTTGCACAAGCTTTTCTCTCTGCTCAGACTTTCACATCTAGATCAAACGGCACTCATGTTTTCAGCCACAACCCCTTCCTCTGGACTGGACTATTTCCCCCAACTTTAGTACCCTTTACCTTTTCTTTAGAGCAGTTAGTTCAGTTGACAATTACACATTTGTGTGATTTGATTAGTATTTGTCTCCTAAATTCTAAACTCCATGAGGTGAGGATTTTCCCCCTACAAAATTGTTTTCTTAGCACTGTAGGGCACTGATGAGTTTGTACTTGGTATATACTAGTAATAGGTGCCCAAAATATATTTGTTAAATGAGTGAAAGCTTGAGAAGATTGCTTTTGTATTATATAAAGGTCTCCCTGAATAGGCAGAATTACAAAAAGTCCTTGAACTAGAAAAGAGAGAGCTAGGGAAGGGAGGTCTTTTGAGGCCAAGGCAAAGTAGCCATAAAGGTCCGAGGTCCCCAACAATTGTTGTGTGGCTTATCTGGGAAAAGTTATTGAGGAGGTCTGTGTAAGTCAAGTGGGGAGTGTTGGGATAGAGTAGTAGAAGCAGTGCAATAGATAACTGCTTCAGGAATATTGGCTATCATAGAAACCCACACCTGAAACCTATCTGATTATGTTGCCCAATGTAACCCCAATAAATTTAATAATATAAAAAAATTAACTATGACAGAGAAAAGAGGGGAATTTTGAGAAGGGAAGTTTTTGCTCTTGCTTTATATTATTTTTAAATGTGCATTTAGGATTATAGACACAGAGAAATTAGGTGGAGGTGAGGAGTTTCATATCCAATCATTTACAAATGATACAGTGCCATTTTGTGTGTGTGTGTTAATCCTCACCCAAGGATGTATTTCCATTGATTTTTAGAGAGAGTAGAGGGAGGGGTTGAGAGGGTAGAGAGAGAGAGAAACAGAGAGAGACAGAGACAGAGAGATAAAGGCATCGATTGATTGTCTCCAGCATGCACCCCAACCTGGGCAGGGGATTGAACCTGCAACCCAGGTACATGCCCTTGAATGGGAATTGAATCTGTGACTCTTCAGTGCAGGGGTGATGCTTTAACCACTGTGACATCAGTCAGGGCAGTGCCAAATATTTTTAATTTTAGTGTTTTTATGTGACAACATTTCTCAGGGATTAAAAGACATTCATATTTATGGAATCAAGTCATCACTGAGCCCATTTTACATATGGGCTCATAATTCCAGTGACTTACTCCACGTCTCATAATGTATAATGTCTCAGGGCTCAAACCCAGGTCCTTTGCAATGATGCTTTAACCACTGTGACATCAGTCAGGGCAGTGCCAAATATTTTTAATTTTAGTGTTTCATGTGACAACATTTCTCAGGGATTAAAAGACATTCACATGTATGGAATCAAGTCATCACTGAGCCAATTTTACATATGGGCTCATAATTGCAGTGACTTACTCCACGTCTCATAATGTATAATGTCTCAGGGCTCAAACCCAGGTCCTTTGCAATCTCAGTATATCCTGAGCTGCCTGCAGACACATAACTTACTAGGTTGTGTGGCCTCAAATTCTTGCCTGTAGTTTCTACACTTGCTACTTTTTATTCCAGAACATCCATTACCCTTCTATTACCCTTTCCTCCACCCCCAACCACACATAGGAATAAATGAAAAGTTGCTTTTGATCTTGGTGATAATATTGTTACATTTTGCAATGAAGATGTGAATTACGGATGCTCAGAGGAACTTGTGGTGAAAATATAATGCATTAAGGAAACATCTTAATCGTATGAATTGACAGTTTCCTTCTTGCTGGCTCATATCCACCTGGCCCTGGTATGTTCAGTCTTATGCTGCTGTTTTTGAATAGTGCATGCACTTAGTACTCTTTTTTTCAAAACATAATTGATGTACCATCTTGGGAAGTGAGTGTATTAAGCCTCCTTGGGGAATATTGTGTGCTGGACCCAGCACAGAATCAAATAGAAAGCCATTGTCCCAGGAGCAGTGAAATCACATTTAATGGACAGGTACTTTGTGCTTAGTTGAATTTTTTTTGCCCAATAGGAATAGAAAGGATATATTTATGGTGGTATTAGGAGCTAAGAAAAATTAAGAGCCAAGTTTCTTAGTTTTCAGTATTCTCATATCCCACTTTCCTGTCCTTCCCACCCTCCCTTTTAGTAAACTCATTTAACCTGTATTTGGAGTGTGACCCTAGATACCTATATAACCACCACTTCCCTTTCCTTCTCTTCTCTTCTACAGAAAGATGTAGCACTTAAGCCTCAGGAACGTGTGGAGAAACGCCAGACCCCTCTGACGAAGAAGAAACGAGAAGCACTTACCAACGGCTTGTCCTTTCATTCCAAGAAGAGCCGCCTCAGCCACCCACATCACTACAGCTCAGATCGAGAAAATGACCGCAATCTCTGCCAGCACCTCGGGAAGAGAAAGAAGATGCCAAAGGGACTCAGACAGGTGAGGAAGCGTGGCTTTGTTCTTTTCTATGGCTGAAAAATCCCCTCCTTAGGTACCTGTTCCTCAGTGGTTCTTCCTAACAGGTGGAGAAGATATCCATGTGGGATGCTGGAAGGCTGCCCTGCAGAGCTTTGTGCTTGCTTCTGAAACAGTATACCAAACCAAGCTCAGTGTTTTTTGTTATGATTTGAAACTTCAGCATGGCACCCTTTTAGTCAGATGTGCTCTGTGTAACAAAGCTCGATGCTGCTGCGATTGGCATTCAGGGCAGGCAGACTAACTGAAGTCTTGATGGTAGACAAGGTGGGGAGAGGTCCTCATAGTTAGGACAAACAGAACAGGCCAATTTGATCACATACACCGTGTATCTAAAGGCTCTCAGGTTCGAAAAATGGTTATCTACATGCAAGCAGTGCCTTGCAGAGGTTTAGATCTTCCTGGGAAGCTCAGGTATTGTGGCATGTGGGAGAGCAACAGTGAAGAAGTGTATTTGCCTTTTGGATCCTTAGTTGCTCTCTGTAGCCCATAATTCAAGACTGTCTTTCTGATCTTCTGACTTTATGAAAGTCTGGTCATGAGGTTTACTGGTCTGTTAATAATTAGGTTTCAGTGATCCACAAGAAAACATAGCTCTTGGCATTTGGAGAGCCTTTCTGCCTGTGGAAATCCCCACATGAGATAGATTAATAATGAGAAACAAAGCTGCTTATAGCAGTTTTTCTGCACAAATCCGGAGGCTTTAATGCCCGCTGAGTTACCTGTGTCCTGGGTGTGTTTTGTTTGTTTTTGGCGGGACTACTGGGTGGGGTTGACTACCACTTGAAGGAAACAGAGCAGGTGCTCTAATTAGTAGCTAAACAGGTAATTTCTAGTTTGCACATGTTTCTCTGCAGAGGGGGAAGATTTGGGATCATATAAAGCAGTGATTCCAAAACCCGCAGGTCATTAGAATCATATCATAAGCCTTTTTGAAACACAAATCCCTGGCCCCTCCCTAGGACCTAATGAATTAATCTCTAGGGGAAGAGGCACACAAATTTGTAGTCTTAGAAAGTTCCTGTTTGGTAGTGGTAGTCCTTAGAAAGTCAGTTTGGAAATAATTCTTATAAAGCATCAAGAATATATTTTTGGTGATGATTTTTAGTTAAAAGATTGGAAGGACCGAAGGCTTCAATAAATTCTAGTGGACATTTTGGGATTAGAGTTCAACCTGATGGGTAATAAAGGATATACTCCTGAGAAGACATCTAAAGTGATAGATTTCAACTTAGACTCAGAAGAATCTCAGGTAGTGTCCCCAAACATGATGTATAGGGCAGTTTTTCTAAAGGAGCACGTGTCCTGGTATAAAATGCCAATTCGCAGTTATATTAATAAATAGAGTTGCGGTGCACAGATTCGTGCACCAGTGGGGTCCCTTGGCCTGGCTGCAGGGATTGGGCCAGGACCAACTCTTCGACATCCCCCGAGGGGTCCCAGATTGCGAGAGGGCACAGGCCAGGCTGAGGGACCCCACCGGTGCACAATTGGGGCCAGGGAGGGCCTGCGGGAGGGCTTCAGGGTATGTCTTGCCCACCTTGCGGGTCCAATCAGGGCCCCGGAGGGACTATGGGAGTGCTCCAGAGCATGTCTGGCCCGTCTCGGCCAGTCCCATTCGGCAGCACCCCAGCAGCAAGCTAACCTACCAGTCAGAGCGTCTGCACCCTGGTGGTCAGTGCGCATCATAGTGACTGGTCAAAAGGTCAAACGAACGGTCGGACACTTAGCATATTAGGCTTTTATTATATAGGATTATTAACATTTATCTAATGCATGCCATGTTTTAATCATTGGATAAGAGAGTTTGTGTGGTATATCTGTAATTCTCACAATAATCATAGCTAGTAGGTAATATGATTACTGTACAGATGGGAAAACTGGGGCTCAAAGAGATAAAGTGGCTTGTTTCAGGCCACTTAGCAGTGAGGGATCGAACTGAGCCAGGGTTTATACCCAGATTTCTTTGGCTTGCTTATTATCTCTCTATGTTCTGCCTTTCTTGACTGAGAAGAGGATTACTCATGAAGGGAAAGAGAACTCCAGGTCATAGAATTTAGGGGACCTACAATGTAGGGGTTCTAGAAATTACTTGAGTAGTTGGTCAGAGGCAGTGATTTTGGTCATAGAAATGGCCTATGAAGGCACAAGAAGAAACTGAATAAAATACCAAGTTCAGAGAACAGAGAAAGGTGGCAAGCACATTTGGATGATGATCTATATTTTTATTAATTTATTTTTCCCATACAGAGTGGGGTGGGGGAAGAAGGGCTATGTTCCATAAACAGTGATGTTCTTGTGGTATTTGTGACTCCCAATTCATGCCTTGTGTTTGAGATATATGAGAAAAGTAATTTTTCCCAGTGGACAGGTTGCAGTGTAACCACCACCTCTCCCCCAAGTCCTCCCCCACAACGGGGTAAGCAGAAGCTTCTTACCCTTCAGGCAAAAAAAATGGAATTTAATTCTGAGTCTACACTAAGCCATGGTTCCTGATCCTTGACACTCTTATTCCCAGACCCTGACTTTTCTATTCTCAGTCCTCACAACTTTTCCTTCTACATTGTCCTCTGGTAAAATGGTTTATGATTATAAAGAAGGCTAGGACTGTATGTCTCAAATTTGAGTAGCTATTGATCCTAATGATCAGCTTTTTGATGCTAGAGAAATCAAACCTATCCTTGTTTTAGTTAAAATATTTGAAAAGTAATTATATTGACTCCCTGTTATGAATCAGGGAGAAGGAAAAATGTATCAGATTTTGGCCTTTGTAAGGGATTTAAAAAGAAGTGGTCTTTCTTATCTTCAATGTTCATGCCAAAATATACTATCCAAATCAAGTGTTATTTTTCTAATGGAAAGGGAAGCAGTTGATAATTGAGATAAAGACCTAATACTTTTCATTTGCAATATTCCTAGAGTCACATGTGCTGCTGTGAAACCCTGAATAATTCATGGTCTGTTCCTGCCCATCAGTAAAATGAGAGGTTTCTCAGGCCCCTTCCTCCGAGTTCCATGTTTCTTTAAAATTGTGACTAACAGCCTGGCCAGTTTGGTTAAGTGGTTGACATTTGACCTAAGAACCAGGAGATCATGGTTTGATTCTCAGTCAGGGGGATGTATAGGAGGTAGCTGATCAATGATTCTCTCTCATCATTGATGTTTACATATCTCTCCCTCTCCCTTCCTCTCTGAAATCAATAAAATATATTTTTTAAAAGTATGAGTAACGCAGAGATATATAATGCTGTTGAGGTCTGGAAAAGAAGACTATACTAGGTCTGAAGGTAATTTAGATTTTGGGTCTAAATGAGTGGTTCTGTGAATACACTTAAAGGAGAGGAGTGATAGGCATTCCTAGTAGGAGAAAGAGGCACGGATAGTTGTGTGTTAGCCCAAACAAATGCCATCTGTTGTGTTATCATGGGTAAAAGGTGACAGGTGAGTGTTTAATGGCCATAGTATCTGTTCAAAAACTTGTGCTAAGGATATTTGCCATTGCTTTTCTATCTTGATAGATGCTTGCATACATCACAATTACTTATTTCCCTATCTTTGCCGCTTATCAGATAAAGTAACCGAACCTGACCATCTTAGCTGGGAGGGGACCTTGAGATGAGAGTTGGCCTTAAGGAGAATTTCTAAATTAATGGATTGTTGTTTAATGCCTCTTACTACGTGAGTTCTAATGACAAGAGTTACAGATGGAAGAGGGCAGTAGGAGCTGAGAATCTAGTCTTTATTTTTGACTTGGTGAGAGTAGATTACTTTTGCTTTTTATTAGGGAATGGTACTTTCTGAGCAGGCAACTAAATGCACAGCTTTCCTATAATTATAGGAAGATGTTACTCCTTAGTGGAGAGGAAATAATAGGATTTCCCCCTGTCCCTGAGAATCCATTGAAGGCAACTAATCTTTTTACTGTGAGAGTACAATTAGTTTTATGAGAGATGTGTAGTTCTAAAATCAAACTGCTTTTTCCTACTTTTGCTTGATTAGAAAATCTCTTGTTTTTCCATATTGTTCAAAGAAAACTTTTAACCAGCACTTAATCATGCCAAAGGAAATTATTTGTTGTATTCTATTTTTAAGCATAAATACATACTGACTTAGAAGATGCTCAGCTGGCAATTGTCTTATAAAATGGTTGCATTTTTTTAATATGGCAAATTTGAATACTCTCCTTAATTTTTAAAGGGGTTTAAACAAATAAAGAAAGGAGCAAGCAGCCTGGCCAGTGTTGTTCAGTGGTTGAGCATTGACCCTTGAACCAGGAAGTCAGGGCACATGTCTGAGCTGTGGTCTTGATCCTCAGTAGAGGGTGTGCAGGAGACAGCCAATTGATGATTCTCTCTCATCACTGATGTTTCCCTCTCTTTCTCCCTCTCCCTGCCTCTCTCTGAAATAAATAAAAATATATACAAATATTTTTTAAAAAATAAAGGAACAAGTTAACTGTTACACAAAAGAGTACATGTCTTTCTGACCCCCCTAGGCCTATATTTGTCCTACACAGAACTGTTTTGCTCATTATGTGAGCACTCAACCATTATATAAAAAAGTTTTAGCTCTTACTAATAGGGGCATGTTAGTTTCTTGTTCCTTCTTATACGTGGGAGAGGGAAAAGCAAAAGAGAAGTTGTATAGGTCCTCTCTGTAAGGAGCTTTATTCTCTAATTGGGAGACTAAGTCACAATGAAATAACTTAGAACACAATGAATTGATGTGTTGCCAGGATTTTTAGCCAAATTATGACTTTCTCAGCAGCATTTTTTGAAAATTTAATTCTTCCTAGTGTTTTGAGTTTTCTTTCATTATATCTAACTTCTAGACCATAAGGGATGTTTTAAAATTTTAGTATTTTCTAGTTTAAAACACTGAGTGAACAAAGCACTTTTAAAAATAGAGGCAATGAGGAAAAGTTGATGAGAGTTCAGAGAATTCTCAGATTTGGTTATGAATGG